GCCCGGGGCCGCCTTCTAGTGCCTCGCCGCGGTCGGAGCCTGAGGTGCTGGCCGGGCCACCAGCGCCGGACCCGGGTCGCCTCATCACCGACCCGTGCAGCGGCCGTACCTACATCAAGGGCCGCTTGTTGGGCAAGGTAGGTCGGGGGCTTTGGGGTGGCGCTGACGGAGGTGGAGGAGAGCCCTGCGGGCCCGACCGTGCCTCTCCGGAGCGCCCAGGCCGATGCATCTTCCTCCTCCTAGGGAGGCTTCGCCCGCTGCTATGAAGCCACTGACACCGAGACTGGTGTAGCCTACGCGGTCAAAGTCATCCCGCAGAGCCGCGTCGCTAAGCCGCATCAGCGCGAGAAGGTGGGTCCAAGCCCTGAGGACCAAGGGGTAGGGAGGGGATGGTGGCGTGGGAACCCTGGAAAGATGACGATCTCGGGCCCTCGTCGCAGATCCTAAACGAGATCGAGTTGCACCGAGATCTTCAGCACCGCCATATCGTTCGCTTTTCGCACCATTTCGAGGATGCTGACAACATATACATTTTCCTGGAGCTCTGTAGCCGAAAGGTCCGGAATAAGGGGGATTCATCGGGGACAGGGTTGGGAAAGGAAGTGGATCCTTAATATCCAAAGCTGGGTTCCTGTCATCCTTAGCAAGCACAGCTGGAGGGCGGGTCTGGGGAGGCAAGCAGGGACTGAAACTGGCTTTCTGCAGTCCCTGGCCCACATCTGGAAGGCCCGGCACACCCTGTTGGAACCAGAGGTTCGCTACTACCTGCGTCAGATCCTTTCAGGCCTCAAGTACTTGCACCAGAGGGGTATCTTGCACAGAGACCTCAAGCTGGGTGAGATTCCTGGGTCTGGTCCGTAAGGGTGGGGATCTCGGGAGGGAAGAGATCGAGTGAAGAAGGATCCGACACGTCTCTCTGCCACTATCTAGGAAATTTTTTCATCACTGATAACATGGAGCTGAAGGTGGGGGATTTTGGGCTGGCGGCTCGGTTAGAGCCCCCGGAGCAGAGGAAAAAGTAAGTGAGGGGATGATGGCCACAGTCTGTATATGACACAGATGATGGACAGTGTGACAGTGTGTATGTGGAAAGCAAGGTGACCTGATGTGTGCTTGGGATAAACAGGGATGGGGTGATGGGCTGTCCGTATGTGTGAGGGTAGAGGTGGCAGCCTAGGACAACCGTCTCAATGTGGCACAGATGGGGGGGTGCCCTGAGTCCCTGACACAGAGAGGAGTCTAAGGATTTTTGGAACTGTATGGCTGACCCTGTGTTGGATGGGGAAAACAGGCCAGGCTGTGAGCATGTATGTGAGACAGACTGAGTGTGGGAATGGCAGGACATGCCACTCTGTGTCAGGGTGTGTGTGTAACACAGATAGCATGTGTGGCAGGTGAGTGCCCATGGGGGGTATGACAGCTGGTGTTGGTTGTGTACGGCACAGACTGTGGGAGGTGACAGCCTAATGAGTGTGTGACAGACGGGAGTGGGGGGAGGGGATCCATCACGGCCCCTTTGTAGTGACCTTGGGAGAGGGGGCTGTGATGGGGTCAGGGCCTCCTCCTGTGCCGCTGAGCAGCTGAGCAGCTGGACTAGACGGGTGGGTGAGGACTCAGCTGCCATCCCCAGCATCCATTGTCCCAAGACAAGCAGGAACTCTCTGGCCTTTGGTGACAGGCAGCTGCTTTGTCTGAACTCACAGCAGGGGCAGGCATGGGGCGGGTGCTGGGCTGGGTCTGAGCCTTCCCCCTCTCCGCCCTACCCTCTTTCAGGACCATCTGTGGCACTCCCAACTACGTGGCTCCAGAAGTGCTGCTGAGACAAGGCCATGGCCCCGAGGCAGATGTGTGGTCACTTGGTTGTGTCATGTGAGTGCCAAGGTCACTGGCAGACGGGTGCATGGACGGGGTCTTCCCACGACTTGACTCCTGACCTCCCGTCCCTGGACACAGGTACACACTGCTGTGCGGGAGCCCCCCATTTGAGACCGCTGACCTGAAGGAGACGTACCGCTGCATCAAGCAGGTTCACTACACGCTGCCTGCCAGCCTCTCACTGCCTGCCCGTCAGCTCCTGGCTGCCATCCTTCGGGCCTCACCCCGAGACCGCCCCTCTATTGAACAGATCCTACGCCATGACTTCTTCACGAAGGTCCGTGGTTCTCTGGACCCCCCGCAGTTCAGTCCGCATGGTCTCAAAGGACAGATGGGAGCAGGACCCTTGGGGTCTCACTTCTCTGTTGACGTGGCTCTCTTCCTCAGGGCTACACCCCTGATCGGCTCCCTGTCAGCAGCTGTGTGGCAGTCCCAGATCTGACACCCCCCAACCCTGCGAGGAGTCTGTTTGCCAAAGTTACCAAGAGCCTGTTTGGCAGGAAAAAGAACAAGAGTGAGTCAGGTGTTGCTGGGCTGAGGGCACAGAGCGGTAGAGTGCTGGTTACATTCATTTGAGTAGGGGATGTTCCAGGTGTGGGCGTCTGTAGACTCTTGGGGAGAACATGTGTTGTCTAGACACTTGGGAAGACCTGCCTGTGTGTGAAATGTGGTCAGGCGGACACTGAGGGCTGTGTCCTCCCTCACCCCCAGATAAGAACCATTCTGAGGAGCGGGATAATGTCTCCTGCTTGGTGAGCGGCCTGATGCGCACATCCATCGGTCATCCAGATGTCAGGCCTGAGGTGAGGTGCTCACGTGAGCGTTATTCCCCTGACTCACCCTGACCCTAGCAGCTGAGGGAAGCCCAGCATAAATGGCTGATGAAGCATCCAACCTCGTGGTGGCCTAATTGGCTGTGTCTCATTAGCCAGCTGAGGCTGACCTGGGGTGCCCTGAGAGCCACCAGGGACAGGGCCGGGCCACTGGACTTTCAAGGATTTCAATTCTGGGGTCTAATCTCACTCCCTCTCTACCCAACTGTCCAGGCTCCAGCAGCTTCAGGTCTGGCCCCCGCCAGCTTGGTAGAGACAGCGGCTGAGGACAGTTCACCCCGTGGGACGCTGGCAAGCAGTGGAGATGGTGAGGAGCCACAAGATGAGAGGTGCTGGAGGTGGCTGGGGTGGCGACCCGGGGCCGGAAGGAAGCAGCTGGCCGAGGGACGTGACCTGGGCCCAGGGGAGGCTCAATGCCTCAATGTCAGTATCCTGTTCCCCCCAGGGTTTGAAGAAGGTCTGACGGTGGCCACAGTGGTAGAATCTGCCCTCTGCGCACTGAGGAACTGTGTGGCCTTCATGCCCCCAGGTAAGGCTGGGCTCTGGTACATGTGAAGAGTTGGGCAAGCTCTTTTTGGACCTAGAAGCCGGGGGAACGTCTTCACTCCCTCCCTCTCCTGTAACAGCGGAACAGAACCCAGCCCCTTTGGCGCAGCCGGAACCTCTGGTGTGGGTCAGCAAGTGGGTCGATTACTCCAACAAGTTTGGCTTTGGGTATCAGCTGTCCAGCCGCCGGGTAGCCGTCCTCTTCAATGATGGCACACACATGGCCCTGTCAGCCAATAGAAAGTAAGTGCTGTTTTTTTGGGGGGTGCTCTGTATTTAGGGTGCTGTTGTACCAAGCAGGGTTGCACCTTGGCACTTCTCTGCTCAGGGGTCTGGGGTCTCCGATCCAAAGGGGGGTGGGCAACGACATTGCCAGGCTCTTCCTCTCTGCATTGCCCCCCCTTTTCAGGATTGTGCACTACAACCCCACCAGCACGAAGCACTTCTCCTTCTCCGTGGGGTCTGTGCCCCGTGCCCTGCAGCCTCAGCTGGGCATCCTGCGGTATTTCACCTCCTACATGGAGCAGCACCTCATGAAGGTGTGTGGGGGCTGCAGTGGGGGCACTTGAGGGGACTCGTGAACCTTTGCTACCTTCTGATCCTCCGCTGTTGGTCATGGGGGAGGGGTGGCCCAAACAGAGATAGTGGCTGAACCTGTAAGGGCAAGAGCCGTCCAGAGAGAGAGAGAGAGAGACCCAGTTCATGCCGGTCTGGTGACCCGACCTGCCTGTTCTCCCAGGGCGGAGATCTGCCCAGTGTGGAAGAGGTGGAGGTGCCGGCCCCGCCCCTGCTGTTGCAGTGGGTCAAGACTGATCAGGCCCTGCTCATGCTCTTTAGTGACGGCACTGTCCAGGTAAGAGCCCATCCTAGCAATGGCGGGAAGGTCGGGTAGGCCCCAGGGTTCTGGGGAAGGTCTGTGAGCCTGGTGCCCAAGCCCTGGACCCTTGTGACCTTGTGTGCGCAGGTGAACTTCTATGGGGACCACACAAAGTTGATCCTCAGTGGCTGGGAGCCTCTCCTCGTGACTTTCGTGGCCCGGAATCGCAGTGCTTGTACTTACCTCGCCTCCCACCTGCGGCAGCTCGGCTGCTCCCCGGACCTGCGCCAGCGACTGCGCTATGCCCTGCGGCTGCTCAGGGATCGGAGTCCTGCTTAGGTTCCGACCCCAGGCCTGTGCCTCAAAAAGACTCTGGCCCTTGCCTTTGTGGCCCTTCCTGTCCCTTTGGTGCCTCACTGGGGGGCTCTGGGCTGAATCCCCCAGGGAATCAGGGACCAGTTTTACTACAGTTGGGCATGGCCTGCCCTCCCTGTCTCTTACCCTCTCTCCCTGAGATAAGCCTGAGCCTTAGCTCCCAGCTAGGGGGCATTATTTATGGACCACTTTTATTTATTAACAGACATTTATTTATTGGGATGTGAGCCCCAGGGGGTGGGGGGGGGGCTCCTCCTGGGATAATAAACCGTTTTTAAGAACTTGAAGGCCTTATCATTCCCAGTAGACCGCGTGGACAGTCGCCACGGCAAACAGCGAAGTGTTGGTGAAGGTGGCAGAGGCCAGTCCATCGTGCACCGCATCCCAGAGTGCGCGGCTGACCACGTGCACACCCTGTCTCTCGCGTGGGCCCAGCACCACGCTGCACACCAGTTTGTAGCGGGGTAGGCGGAGCTCCCGCACCCGAAGGCGGATCTGTTCGCACAGAGCCTGTGCCAATTTCCCCGCCTCGGTACCGGAGTAGCGCGCGTTGCTCAGCTCGGCTTCCAGCGCTGCCTCCAGGGCCCGCTGAGCGCTTGCTGCTTCCCAGCGCTCCCCCGGTGCCGGTTCTGTGCGGTAGGAGGGTGCCATCCGACGGGCAGGCATCAGCGGTAGCCCAGAAAAGCTGACTCGCGCACCTAAAGGGGGCATTGGGCCCAGGGATAGCCGTCGACCCCCAGGGCCTACTAGGGGTCCTGCCAGTGAGTTGCGGCGGGAAAAGGATGGGTGTAGGCTCAGCAGGGAGCCACGACGGGAGGCTGGGCCTGGGCCTGTAGGTCGGGTCTCGTTAATGCTGGGCAGGTGACCTCCAGACTTCCCTGGTGGTAATTTCAGAGCCAGGTCTTTGGTAGTCTCCTCTTCCTGGCGTCCAGATGGCAGGGTCCTGCCAGCCATGGACATGCCTGCTGGAAGATCCACACTTAGGAGTGACCCTCACTGGCAGAGAGCTCCCTACACCTAGCCTCTTGCTCAGTGAAACTGAGGTGTGTGTGTGTGTGTGTGTGTGTGTGTGTGTGTGTGTGTTTGAGACAATGTCTCACATGGCCTCCAACTTGTGTGGCTGAGGCCGGCCTTGAACTCCATCCCCCTGCCTCCAACTCCTGAGTGACGGGATTACAGGATGTGTGAGCACACTCAGCGCCTCCCTCGTCGACTATAGGCATACATCACCATGTCTAGCTCCTCCATATCCCTTTTCTTACCTGTGTCTTTGGAACAAGTAGATCAATTGGGGGTGCGTGGGCTGCTTAGAGAAGGTTAAGAGCTGTTAGAGATATAATCAAGGGAAGGAGTTGCTTAGATAATGATCATGGAACCTCTGCCCAGGGTTCTTTTCCCTTGGTCACTTTGGAGGCTGACGGGGTGAGCAGTTAAAAGTCCACTTCCTTTCCCCCCCTCCCGCTTGATTTCACCAGCAGAATGGCAACATGAAGCTGGTTTCTGGGTTTCTTCCGACCATAGCCAGAAGGGACAGACCCGACTCCGTCACTCCCGTAGATCTCTCTAGCCTCAGAAGTACAGAATTTAATCGTCTTCCCTGCTCTGAGTAGGGTGTGACTTCTCTTGACCTGCTGCATCTGGAGGCAGGCGACGAGTGAGGCAAACTTCCATCCTGGTCCTCAGGTCTCTCCTTCCAACAGAATCATCTGTGGGATGGATGCCCTCGTCCCCTGAAACTCCCTCAGGCACCTGACTCACCTGCAGCCTTTGGCCTCCAAGCTCTGCTGGCCCCACGGTCTCCACTGAGTGCCCTGAGGGCCTGTGGGCAGGGAAGGCTTTGTTGTGCAGTTACCATGGGATGGCTGTAGCAAGCATGCCCCTCCTTCCCAGGACTCCTCCCTCCAGCCAGACTCTGGAATAACCTAAGTGTTAATGTTATGGGCACCTGCTGCAGGGAGAGAGTACCTGAGTTATGGGGGGGCGGGGGAGGGGGCTTGGAGTTCTGGAGTATTGCAGATGAGGGGGTAGCTGTGCTCATCAGAAGGGTGCTTGCTTTCGAGCCCCTGTTTTTTATGAAGTGGCCAGTCATCTGGCCTGGCCATTTGTGAACAAGCCACAGGGGCCTGGGATGTGCTAAAACCTTGAGACTGTGGGGGCGGCTTCTTAGGAATCCAGTATCTGGGCTCACAGGAAAGAGTACGTCATAGCTTTACATTTTCCCATCAGCCTCAACAAGGACAAACATTTCCGCTTCAGGGCACAGCTAGGGTGGGGCTTGGATGACTTCCTTACTTCAGAGCTGTGTGCTGAGGGGGGGAGGCCTTTGGCTCAGCGGGAAAGACCCAGGCCTAGCAGAGCCATGAGTCAGTGGTGAATCTAAATCCAGTCTCTTGACCTTTGCTGACCCACTCAGGTGCCCTGGGACTTGTCCGCAGCTGGCCACACTTCCTTCATGCCCCAGTATCTAGAATATGATGCCTCTCTCCCTAGGGATGCTTGCTTCTCAGGGATGCCAGAGGCTCTATTGCTTCTGTCAGGACTCAACTCCCCCACTCTGGGAGGCATGGGGCTGCCCCCTCCCAGGCAAACTAAGTCTGAGCTCTGAAAACCACACTTAGGGGGTGAGAATTTTCCTGAGGAGGTGATGTCTCAGGCCTGGCTATCCCGGTCTTAAACTGAACCCGTAGGGAAGGGACTGGGAAGGCAGAGGTCTTGAGTTCTGAACCCCCTGTAGGCAGGAGCCGGCACTAGGACCCTCGAACCCTTCTTAGGGCTCTTCTGAAATATTTTTCTGGGCGGATAGGGAGATGGGCGGGGCCTCCTCAGGCTCAGCTCCAGTTTCCATGGAAACTCACAGGCTTCCAACCCAGCCGCTGCCTGGGCAGGCTCCCAGCCTGGGCCTCATCTACCACCAGCTTCTCCGGGATCGTAGGCCTTTCTAGCCTCAGCTTCTGTGGGCCCTCTCTGTAGTACCTGCACCCCTTTCCTGAACCTCAGGCCTTCATTAGGGGCCTGGGCCTCTTTTCTCCTTGACCTTCAGCTGCTCCACACACAGGCCTCCACAGCTCCTGCCCTTCCTCTCAGGCCTCTCCCCTCACTAGCTCTTGGCCTGGTTGGGCCTCCTAGGCCATTCCCACCCTTTGCTCTGCTGCTCATCCCACAAATGGAGAACCCAGGGCTGACTGTGCGTGGGCAGGCTGCACCCTTTTCCTCAGCGCTCCGAGGCCTTGTCAACAACCCTCAGTACAGGTGAGGCAGTGCTCCCCCTTGCCCCCGCTGGGGGGGGTGGGGTGGGCGGGCTTCCCTAGCTGCCTCTCATGGGCCTATGAATTTGAGGAGGCTAAGGGTGAAGAGGCCGGGAAGGCGCACTTGGCCTCCCTGGTGAACTCAGTCTATGAGGAAGTCAAGTAGGGGGGGATGTCTACTGGCCTGTGTCCATGCTAGCCTGAGGTGGGGGCAGTGGGGGGGAGGGAGGAGGGGGGGCAGCCGTGTGAATTCAGGCACAGCCCTTCCTTCTCTGGCCTGAGGAAGGAATCCTCAAGCCTCTCAGCCCTGAAAGGCGGAATGTGACTTGTCTCACGCCCATTGGGCATTCGACTGAGTGCTGGACTTCTTTCCTTGAAGCGACAGAGGCGCAGAGAACTCTAGGGATTCAGAACAGGATCGAGACACAAAGGATTGGGTCAGAGACCCAGACAGGAAGTAGTTCAAGGCTGCTGACCGCCCACTGCTTGCCCAAGAGGCTCGTGCTGTCTGGAACCAGGAATAGAGTTTACTGGGGGGCAGGGCTGGTGATGGAGACGGACTGCCGCTTCCCGTCCCCACCGGCTCAGAGGCTGCCTGCTCCCCAGGGTTAGTGACTGTCATAGTTCTCTCTCTCTCTTTTTTTTGAGGGCAGAGTGTCACAGTCTGGCCTAAAGAGTGGACCCTTAGGCCTTGAGCCTGGGAGTAGGAGGGAGGCACTGGCAGCTGAAGTTTTCTCCTCCGCTGCCTCCCCCTCCACCTTAGGCAGAGCTTCAGAGGCCCAGAGGCTGGGGCCGGAAGTGATTATGAAGATGGAAAATGTGGTCTCACCTCATGATGGCGCATCACTTGCCATGTCTGTCTGCAGTCAGTGTGCTCTCTACCCCACATCCTCACACCCTCCTACGGGAGGGAGACTGAAAATGCTGAGGTGGCATCTCATGGGAGCAGCACCCAGGGGAGTTTCCTTTCCCCTGGACTCTGACTGGGGAGCCATCCGCCTGGCTTTCGTGAACCCCGGTTTGACCAAGCATAGCCAACTCCTCTGAGCCCCGAGCTTTCGTGAACCCCGGTTTGACCAAGCATAGCCAACTCCTCTGAGCCCCGAGGTCATGGCTGAGCAGCCTGAGAGACAAAGATAGAAAGTCCCAGGGTGGAGCTGAGACTAGGAACTGAGACTAGCATTTAGACCCGAGTCTCCCAGACGTGGGTTTTGACCTTACATAAAAAGAAGCCGGGTGAGTCCCGGGGTGGCAGAGGCAAAGCTGGAAGTGTGATCCGGGGTCGAGATTCCCTTCTCTGGCTCCCTGTCCTCTCTCCGCAGCGATGTCTGCTTTGTGGTTGGCCGAGAACGGCAGGAGGTGTTTGCCCACCGGTGCTTGCTGGCCTGCAGATGCAACTTCTTCCAGAGACTTCTGGGCACAGAGCCGGGCCCGGGGGTACCTAGTCCTGTGGTGCTAAGCACTGTGCCAGCTGAGGCCTTCTTAGCTGTGCTGGAGTTCCTGTATACCAACAGCGTCAAGCTGCACCGCTACTCTGTGAGCTTACCAAGCTGGGGGCCGGGTAGGAGAGAGGCTGGGGTAAGAGGCAGGGGTCTGCCCATTACGCTGTGGGTCAAGGGGCAGGGAAACTCCCTTCTGCTTCCTCACCCACCCCGCCCGCCCGCCCCCCATGCAGGTGTTGGAGGTGCTGACAGCAGCTGTGGAATATGGGCTGGAGGAACTTCGAGAGGTGGGTGTCTCAGGCGAGGCGACTTGCTTCCCTTGCCTTTCAGTTCATAGCCTCCTTTGTAGAAGGAATCTTAAAAGTTCTTATTAATAAAATAGTAAGACACAGTCTGACCGTCTCACACAGACAGAAGTAGGTACCTGGGATCTGCACATGCTCAGTGTGTGCTGAGTGAGGGTCGGAAGTATTTGTGGCTGGCTCTGCACTACAAGGGTAAATGGGCTTTGGCCGGTGATTGAAGGGAGAGAGACACATGAAGATACTTAACATGCATGGGCCATGGTGCTTCCGGCTAGTCCCAGCACGCAGAAGACTGAGGAGGATGGCAAGTTTAAGGCCAGCCGGAACTACCTAGGGAGTTAAGGCTAGCCTAGGCTACAGAGTGAGACTTCGTCTCAAAAAGCTAAACGTAAGTGTGATAGGCAGACTGCTGATGGATGCAGAGAGATTCCTGGAGAAGGAAACTTTTGTTAGAGCTGGAAAACAAGTAGCGTTTTGTTCAGGAGAGTGGGAAGATGGCATTATAGTCACAGGGCACTCAAGGAGCTGGTTAGATGTCTGGGGTGGTTGGACTGGGAACATGGGTGCGGGGTAAACTGGAAAGGTACCAGGAGGCTGCTTCATGCAGGTGTTTCAAAAATTTTTGCTTTAGGCTGGGAGTGGAGTTCAGTGGTGGAACGCTTGCCTAGCATGCTATAGGCCCTGGGTTCAATTGCCAGCACTAGCCAGGTGTGGTGGTATATACCTCTTTTTCCAGCACTCAGGCAGGGTAGAGAGGAGGATAAGACCAAGCTCACGGCCACCCTGGTCCACAGAGTGAGCTCTAGACCAGCCAAAGTTACACAGCAAGACCCTGTCTCAACTTTCCCTCCCCTGGAGTCCTCTTAATGCAAAGGGAGTAGAGATTCACTGAAAGTTTTGGGCAAAAGGAGCTAAGGGGGAAAGGGACTGAGAAAAAAGGGAAAGGAAAGGGCCTGTCAGGCCAGTCAGATTAGTGTCAAAGTCAAGAGGGTGTGGTCGAGATGGAAATGGCGGTCCAGGAGAGGTGGGTGGCTCTGAGACCAGACAGCTGGCACCACCCAGTGCTTCTGGAAGAGCGGGAGATGTCAACCGTGAGATTTAGGTTTCTGTTAAAAATAGAAGTGTCATCGAGTCAAGGAGGGAACAGTGGAGGAAGAGAGAGAGGGAGGAGGAGGCTGGAGGTCTGGAGGGCCTCAGCGGAGACAAGTGCACAGGGCTTGCTTCGGGCTTGGCTTTGCTAGCCTCCGGGCTCTCTAGGCTTGCTAAGTTGCAGGTCGGAACAATTCTCTTTCCCAAAGCTACGCAGTCAAGGCGGCTCTGGGGCTCTGGGAGTCTGGGTGACTCATTGCTGCAAGCCTACTCACCCTTCTAGGGTAGGACTTGAGGTCTTGAAGCAAGGACACCTCCACACAATTCACTTCCGTTTCTGTCCCCAGTTATGCCTGGAGTTTGTGGTGAAGGTGCTGGATGTGGAGTTGGTCTGTGAGGCCCTGCAGGTGGGTACTGCTGGGCAGCTCTGGGGAGGAATCTGATTTTGAGAATGTGGTCCTGGCCTCTCCACATGCCAGAAGCCTTTGACTGGCTACATCTGCTAGAGAACAATGTGAGGGCATGTTTACTCAAGGTTGCTGATGAGATAAACCCTGTGCCCAGATCTGTGGGTGTAGAGCACATCAGTAAGGTCATCCGTAGGAGGAAGTCAAAGGGCTGGGCAAGGCAGGCATGGTGACACACACCTTTAATCCCAGTACTCAGGACGCAGAGGCAATTAGAGCTGAGTACGAGGACAGCCAGGGCTACATAGTGGTCTTCTATTAAAAGTGGGAAATGGGGCCGGGAGGTGGTAGTGGCACACGCCTTTAATCCCAGCACTCGACTGGAGAGGCAGAGGCCAGAGGATCTGAGTTCGAGGCAGCCAGGACTACATAGAGAAACCCTGTCTTGAAAAAAAAAAAAAAAAAACAAGAGTGGGAAATGGCTCTTAGCAGGCACAGAGGAAAGGTGGGATGTGGAGTTTAGAAGCCAAGCCTGGGCTCCAAGATGGAATTTGAAGGACCTGAACATGGCCTCCTTTATCATCGGCCTGTGTGTTCATGGCCACCGCGTTTTCCCCAGGTCCAATTTCATTAGACATTGCATGTGCTGTGATGTCTCCCCATTTGGGATTGCTCTCAGGCTTGTGGCAGTCCCTAGTGTGCAGAGCTGGGTCACACGGCCTCTCCAGTCTCCAGCCTGACCACCTTCACTCTGCTCTCAGGTTGCTGTGACCTTTGGCCTGGGGCCGCTGCAGGAGCGGTGCATAGCCTTCATAGAGGCTCACAGCCAGGTACAGCTCCCCATCTTTATACTTGCGGCCTGTCTCTCCCCCCACGCCATTCTTTTCTGCCCTGATCGAAACACCGATCCCTAGGAGGCGCTCCGCACCCGTGGCTTCCTGGAGCTGTCGGCCACTGCGCTGCTGCCCGTGCTACGCAGCGACAAGCTCTGCGTGGATGAGGCTGAGCTGGTCAAGGCTGCCCGAAGCTGGGCGCGCGTGGGCGCCGTGAGTGGGACCTGGGGGAGGCGAGGGCGTGGGCCGCAGGAACTCGGCAGACGGGCGGCAGGGCACAGGCCGCCGCTCCGTCGGGGCTCAGGGTTCGCTTCCACAGGCGGTGTTGGAGCGACCAGTGGCCGAGGTGGCGGCTCCAGTGGTTCGAGAGCTGAGACTGGCCTTGCTGGCCCCGGCGGAGCTGAGCGCCCTGGAAGAGCAGAACCGACGGGAGCCGCTCATCCCGGTGGGGACGCGAGTAACCAAGGCTCAGAGCCACTCCGCCACGTGGGGATGCGGAGCTGGGACCCTTGCCAGGGACTTCGGACTCCGTGGTGACTCGCTGTCTCCCTATAGGTGGAGCAGATTGTGGAGGCGTGGAAGTGCCACGCCCTACGGAGAGGAGATGCGGTCCGAGGCGCACCGTGCCGTCGGCGAAGGGGAACCCTGCCCCGGGATCACCACCGTTTTCTGGACCTTCGTTTCAAATGACCTACTTCCGGAACTTGGGAGGAATTCGATCACAACCCAAACTACAGCTCCCGAGGTGCTCTGCGCTCGAGGCGGGCTTCCGCCCCCAGCAAGCCCAGCCAGCCGGATGTCGGAAGGGTAGTGCTCAGTCTGGAGCAAAGCTTAAAGCCTCCGCCTAGAAGTCGGGGCGGAGCAGTGGGCACAAGGTTAGGGCCGACGCCCCGAGACCGGAAGCGAGGGTGGCCTTTGTTCCATGAGCTCACCCCGCATCCTGCTGCCGGTCACTCCTCTGTGCCCCTCTATTTGGATACGCGGCTATCTATTTACCTCATCGTCTTTAACAACAAATCAGCTTCCTGGCTCCAGGCTCAGTGCGCATTTGAGTTTCTCATCTTTTCTCCCACTCTTCCGGCCCAGTCAATAGTGCTTCTCATTTCTGCGGGTCAGGAACTGGGATCTCCTTCTTGCCTACCTCATGCCTTCTGCCTTCTAATAGCACTTTCGAGTTGGTTCAGTCTGCAGCCTCTCTAATGCCATTTCCCCCGCCAGTGGTCCCTCACTCCTTTCTCCCTCAGCGCACAGTGCATCCTTGTGATGGCTCCCCCGCTGCGACTGTCACTCCGTCCCCCAGTCCTTCAACGTTCTTAACTACTAAAGTTCCTAGATATTTAGCAGTTCTTAACTCTGAGTTTGGGAGTTCCAGAATTAACTTTTTTGGGGGTGGGGGGTGAGGGATGGATAATCTCTCACTGTGTAACCCCCAGCTGGCCTAGAACTCACTATGTAAGCTAGGCTAGCCTTGAATTCACAGAGCTCCGACTGCCTCCCTGGTACAGAGATTAAAGGCATCATGGACTATTACTTCCAGCTTAAGAAAGAAAAAAAAATCTGGGCAGTGGTGGCACATCCCTTTGATTTTGATCACAGCACTCGGAAGGCAGAGGCTGGCTGGTGGATCTCTGAATTTGAGGCCATCCTGGTCTGCAGAGGGAGTACCCGGACAGCTAGAGCTACACAGAGAAACTCTGTCTCAAAAAGTTAAAACAAAGACTTTTATTTTTGGTTTTTCGAGACAGAGTTTCTCTGTGTAACAGTCCTAGCTGTCCTGGAACTCCTCTGTAAACATCCACCTGTCTCTGCTGGGATAAAGGCAGGCACAAAACAAAAACCCCTTGAAGAGATGGGAAAAGAGCCGGGAGGTGGTTTTAATTCCAGCATGAGAGGCAGAGCCAGGTGGATCTCTGTGAGTTTGAGGCCAGCCTGGTGTACAGAGCGAGATCCAGGACAGGCACCAAAACTACACAGAGAAACCCTGTTTCGAAGGAAAAAAAAAAAGATAAATGGGAAAGAATCTTAACTCATGCTCAGGCTGGTCTGGACTTACTGTCTCAGCATCTTCACTTTCAGTAGCTGGAACTACTATTATATATAATATATATATATATATATATATATATATATATATATATTATATATATAATATATATATATATTTTTTTTCCCAAGAAAAACCACCACCGCCAGCTCCCAGCAAATAATTTTTAAAGGAGTTGTAAAGCAAGATTTAAAAATGAAGGACAGTGGACACTTTAAAAGGAAATAAAATTATAATTCTGACATACAAAACTGTATTGCTGATGGATTAGTGATGGCTGTTGCCTTCTTTCTCCAGCGGGTGCCCGTGTTTGGATTGGGAACACTGAAGGTAGTTTGCTGCTCGAATGCCTGTGATTCTCTTGCTTTTTTGTACTTTATTTTACACCAACCTGCGAGGCCACGTACTAAGCCCGGGCTTCCGTTAGCTTTGCTGTAACATTTGATGAAAACAGCTTTCTAAATTGTTTTCAAGAACTTGGAAATCATTCACACTGCCTGAAACCACCAGTCCTTCACTCAAGGACGGAAAACTCCACCTTTCATGTGGGCTGACACTGCTGTCCTCTGATCAGGCCTGTTCATGAGGCACGCATAGCCTGGTGGAACAGGCCTGTAAATGTCAGCACTCGGGAAGTGGACTGAGGAGGATCGGCAGTTTGCGGCCAGCCTAGGTTAGCTACATGGTGAGACCTGTTTCCAAAAACAAAATAAACTGGGCCTGGTGTCACACACCTTTAATCCCAGCACTCAGGAAAGCAGGGGCAGGCACATCTTGGTGAGTTCAAAGCCGGCCTGGTCTACGTGAGTTCCAGGCCACTCAGAGTTATCTATAAATAAAAACCAAACTCGTTGTGGTGGCCTGTGATTTAAGCACTAAGAAGACTGAAGCAGAAATGTGGCTAGTCCGCTTGGCCAATACAGCAAAATCTAGTCTCAAAAACCAAAAACAAAGTAGCCCATGATGACCCTCCTGCCTCAGCTTCCCAAGTGATAAAATTAATTACAGGCATGGAACACCACACCCCAGGCCCTGCTGTTCAAGCCTCTGTGATAGAGGCTGATAGAAAACAAGGCTTCCAAAAACTGGATCATGAGCTGCACCTGGTGGCTCAGGTCTGTAATCCTAGCACTGGGGAGCAGGTCACTCTGGGTTCAAGGACAGCTGTCCCTGCCTTCCAGATACCTGGAATACAGAATGAGAATCTTTCCAAAAACGAACAGGAAGGTGGTGGATGCTAGAGAGAAGGCTCAGCTGCTCTTGGGAAGGACCAAAGTTCCGTTCCCAGCATCCACGTCAGACAGTTCACGCCCACCTGTAACTCCAGCTCCAGGGAGTCTGCTGTCTCTAGTCTCCATGCGTGTCTGAATGCCACGTTCACATACCCCCACCCCACCCCCACATAGACAGTTTAAAATAAGATAAATCTGAAAGAAAAAAATGTTGACTCAAAACTGTTCCTCGTCATGGAAATGTTTGCATGAAAGGCGAAAGATGTCAGTGATATGAAGAAAAACCAGAGGATGGGTGTGTCATTTGGTTTCTAGCCTCTAAGAGGTTCAGGGCCTCAGCTGCATGATGTAGGTTAAATGGCTACAGTTTATATACATGTGTTTCCAGCAAGTAAGTTGCATCCTACAATCACGGAAACACATCCTCAGGGCTGGAACTCAAGCACAGTGAAACTGTTTTCTCTTGAAGTACCCTGGGTATGCAAATTCAAAGGCCTGGGACTGGTTTGGTAAACCAGCTGTGGGAGTGTGGGTGAGCAGAACCGACCAAGAGGAAGCTGTGGATTCCAGGCCACTGCTCTCCTTGCTTCTCTGCCAGTTGCCTGGGACCTTGCGCTGTCTTTCCTCATGAGATCTGGGATTGGTAAATTATTGGTCCCAGTGCTAGGGTGACTGTTTTATTGTTCCAGACTGGCAGAGCACCCTCAGCTTCAGACTGAGCAGCCCGGCTCAGCACTCCGAAGCAGCACCACACAGGAGGCATGTCACCACCCTCTCTCTGGCCGTTGTCATCCAGGTTTTCTTTTATTATTTTTTTTTGGTTTTTGAGACAGGGTCTCTCTATATAGCCCTCGCTGTCCTAGAACTCACTACATGGACCAATCTGGCCTTGAACTCACAGGCAGCCACCTGTCTCTGCCTCCCGAGTACTGGAATCAAAGAAATATGCTACCATGTCTGGCTCTAGGTTATCTTTTTTGTTTTGTTTTGTTTTAGAACAGTGTCTTACTCTGTAGCTTCGGCTGGTCTCAAACTCACAGAAATTCTCCAGCCTCAGCCTCTCAAGGGCTGAGATTACCAGTGTGAGCTGCCACACTCAGAAGCATCCAGTTCCTCTTGAAGGATGACCTGGGTTAGGACAAGGGGAGGTGAGGAAGAACCTAGGCAGAGGGGTTGACAGGTGCAAAGTTATGGTGACCCAAACAGTGTGGTTTATTCTTTTTTTTTTTTTCTTGGTTGTTTTGAAACTGGGTTTCTCTGTGTAGCTTTG